CTTTAAAAAAAATAAATAAAACCTATACTGTAAAGCATAGAATGGGAGATGGGGGTAAATGAACCTGTATGGGAGCAAGATTTGTATATATTATGTGAAGAGGCAAATTACTAAATGTAAAATGAGAAGGATGTAGTTTGTAATTCTTTGAGCACTCAGTAAGGAAAAAATGTGATGAAGTGTTGCTAAAAAGCTAGTAGAAAAAGTAAATAATCCAAAAGAGGATAGAGGTAGAGCTGAACAGAAATAATGGTAGGCCTAATCCAACCATCAATTTCATTTAGTTTAATGGAATAGGTAGTCTGATTCAGATTCTCTGATTAGGTTATCTGGAATAGATTCTCTGAATCAGAGATAATATTATCCAGTAATGTCTGCATACAGACAGATTGGATAAAAGTAAATGCATGGAGGGGGCGCCTGGGTGGCTCAGTGGGTTAAATCCTCTGCCTTCGGCTCAGGTCATGATCTCAGGGTCCTGGGATTGAGCCCCCCATCGGGCTTTCTGCTCAGCGGGGAGCCTACTTCCTCCTCTCTCTCTGCCTGCTTCTCTGCCTACTTGTGATCTCTGTCAAATAAATAAATAAAATCTTAAAAAGTAAATGCATGGAAAAAGATACATGTTTTCATCAGTAAGCATAAGAAGGCTGGAGTGGCTATATTCATATCAGATAAAGTAGAGTTCAAGGTAAAGTGTGTTGCTTGAGTTAAGGGAGTTGTTCGTAATGATAAAAAGGTCAATTCATGACCTAATCATAAACATGTGTGTGTAATACAGAGGTTCAAATACATCAAGCAAAAATAGATAAAATTAAAAAAAGAAATAGACAACAATCAGAGATTTTGGCACTCTTCTCAACAACTGATACTTCTCAACAACTGATAGACAACTAAACAAACAAAAAAGTAAGTATAGATCTCCACCTGACTACCACAGAATATACTTCTTTTCCCAAGTATACTTACAGACCAAATGCTGGGCCATGAATCAAGTCCTAATAAATTTGAAAGGATTGAAATAATGCAGAATATGTTCTTTGGTCGAGATGGGATTAAAGTAGAAATCAAGATGTCTAAAATAACCACACATACTTGAAAAGTCCTGAAACTTCTAAACCTACGTATGAATGAAGAAATCACAAGAGAGAAAGTAATTTGAACTGGATGATGAAAATAGAATCAGAATTTGTGAGATAACGGTCATAGCTAAGAGGATCCTAGCTGAGGATACATCACAACCAAATGTAATGTGATATCCTGGAAGAGAAAAAGGATACTTGGTAAAAAATGAGGAAATAAAATAAGGACTTCAATTAATAATAATCTATCAATATCCATTTTTTAATTATGACAGGCTATTTTACTAATGCAAGATGTAAATAATACGGGAAACTGGGAGTGGGGTATAGGGTACTTTACTATTTTTGCAATTTCTATGAGTCTTAAACTATCCTAGAATAAATAGTTTATTAAAAAGTGCTTTAGGTGCTCAATCTTTAAGCATTTGCCTTTGGTTCGGGTGATGATCCCAGGGTCCTGGGATGGAGTCCCATGTCAGGGTCCTGGGATGGAGCCCCACGTCAGGCTCCCTGCTTGGCAGGAAGCCTGCTTTCCCTCTCCCACTCCCCTTGCTTTCCTGCTCACCGCCCCCCCCCCGCCCCCTCTCTCTCTCCTTTTTTTAAAGTGCTTTAAAAATTTATAGGATGCAGTTAATGGAATGTGTAGAGGGAAGTTTATAATTTTAAATACCTATTTTAGAAAAGAAAGGTTTAAAGACAGTGGCCTAAAGTTCTACCTTATGAAGCTAGTAGAGAGCAAGATACTCCCAAAGTATATAGAAGGAAAGAAAGAAGACAACAGAAGCAATCAGTAAAATAGAGAAAGACAAACAATACACAAAATTACAAAGTCAGAAGTTGGTGCTTTGAAAAAATCAATAATGTTGCTAAATCCATAGATACACTGGTCAGAACACAAATTACTAGTATCAGGAATGAAAGGGATTTACCAGAATGATAAGAGGATATTGTAGGCAACCTTATACCACAAAATGTGGCAACATAACTGGACAGTTTCTTGAAAATAGCTGTATACTAAAGCTGTCACAAGTTGAAACAAGATCTGAAGAAGCTTATATTAAAGAAATGGAATAATTTAAAAATAACTTCTCATAATGAAAACTCAGGGCCATAATGATTTGATTGATGAATTCTATCAAGTATTTAAAGGAAAAATAACATCAATCTTATATAAAATTACAGAAAACAGACAAAGGGGAGTCACCTCCAAACTCATTTCACTAGGCCAGCATAACTCCAATAACTAAAACCTGATAAAGACATTACAGATTTAAAAGAAGATTGCAGAAGTGTGCCCTATGAACAGAGACCCCATATAATTCTGGGCAAACTATTAACAAACCATAGTACATTATGACGAAGTGATTAAGGATAGATGGATAGGTATCTGTCTGATAAAACAAATATAGTCAATTGCTAATGGTAGCATCTAGGTGGTAGATACAGGGATATATGGGAAACTGGGTGTGGGATATTCACTATGAGATTCTTTCAGCATTTTTGTGCTTGAAATTTTCCAAACTACAGTACAGGGACAAAAGGGAATATTATGAGCAGAATTGTATATTAAAGAGATTTCTCCTGCTACAGTGTAAGGATTAGAAATGTACAGGATTACCTGAGAATAGTTTGAGAGAGGATGCTGAGACCATTTAGGAGTGTATTATGTGACTGTTCTTTTTACGTTGGCAGTTTCAAGGTAAATTTGAGCCCTGGGAAAATTTCCAAGCTGTTGGAATGCTGAACTTTTCAATAGTACCAAATTTTGTCTAAGCCTTAATTTTTTTTTTTTTACTACCTACCTGCTGAGATGTTTGGCTGTATCACTGCCTCATGCACAGTATGCATGAGAGTTTTAATTATTTTAATTAAAAATTTTTTTTAAAGATTTATTTGTTTGAGGGGCATCTGGGTGGCTCAGTCAGTTAAGCACCTGCCTTCAACTCAGGTCATGATCTCAAGGTCCCAGGATGGAGCCCTGCACTAGGGTCCCTGCAGTGAGTCTGCTTTTCCCTCTACCTTTCCCACTCCCCCTGCTTGTGCTCTCTCACTCTCTCTCTGTCAAATAAACAAAATCTTAAGGAAAAAAAATTTTGTTTATTTGAGAGAGAGCACCTGCACTCCATGGCTTGATGGCTCCATATCTCCATCCCACAACCCATGCGATCAGGGCCTGAGTTGAAACCAAGAGTCAGACACTTAAGCGACTGAGCCACCCCAGCGCCCCCATGTGAGCTTTTAGTGAACATTAGACTTTCAACATTTACAGAGTGATGATGAGCATTTTTTGCAAATTCCAAAATTTGCAGTACTGCTACTTTTGCAGCATATAAATTGCTCTCTAAAATCTGATAAAATATATGGTGACATTTTCAGAGACTTTTTAAAACCTTGTTTTGGTGGGCAGCAAAGCAAGATTTATTGAGTGATAGCAAAGTGATGGTACAAAGCTCCCAAGGAGGGAGGGGACCTGAAGGGGTTGCCACCCAAGTTTCTAAGTCTAGGGTTTTTTATGGGCTTGTTGGCCGGCTGTTTTAATCTGTCTGATTAACCCTCCTTGCGCCTGTCATCCAGTCAGGTTTTTGTCATCTCTCTATCATATGGGAAAGGGTGGTATAAAATCCTTTTAAGGGTGGTTTCCTCTAGGGCAGGGACACCTGTCCCTGCCTGCGTGCCTTCCAGTTACCTGTCATCATTCTCCCCACCGAAGAGGTAACGCTAACTGCCATTAGGGAAGAAGACTGATCTTAGCTCCTTCCTGCTGGTCACAGGGACGTTGGATGGGGTGGCAGTCAGGGTTCCTCTTGTCCAGATCAGGGGGTCCCCTGTAGATGTTTGGTTTGACTTCCACGTGAGGCTCCATCTGAACCACTACCATTTGGAGTTTGATGTCCTTTGTTGGTTAGTTGTCCTTAACGATGGTGGGTATCCTGGATGAGCCCCCATTAGTGTTTCAGGACTTTTTCTCTGGTGCCCATGGTTCTTGGTCACGCCACTTCGAAGAATGAGAAGGTAGACCACACGGGGTGGTGGGCAGCAAAGCAAGATTTACTCAGCGACAGCAAAGTGTTAGTATAAAGCACCCAAGGAGGGAAGGGACCAAAAGGGGTTGCCCTCAGAGACTTAAGTATACTTTTTAAAGTATATGACAGAGGCATTTAGGAAGCTATCCATATCAAAATGCTGAAGTAAATGCTTTACTGTATTACACCAGGATTGTAGTCAATGATTAACGATTTTATAAAAGGAAGAAATAATGAAGATGATTGCTATTATAGTCCTATTTATATAAAGTAGTTGAAGATTATTGAATGTGTTGTTACCAACAAGATGCATGGAGAATGGCTAAGCTTTTTGAGGAGGTATTGAGCAGTTAGCTAGACTCACTCATTAGCTTGCAGTGATTGTAATTCATTCACAGAATTTTTATTTTTATTTTTTAAGATTGATTTATTTGTTTCAGAGAGAGCACATGTGAGCAAGCCTGGGGGAGGAGAAGCAGAGGGAGAGGGAGAGAGAGAATCCCAAGCAGATTCCCCGCTGAGCATGGAGCCCTACATGGGGCTCCATCCCACAACCCTAAGATCATGACCAGAGCTGAAACCAAGAGCCAGACACCCAACTGACTGAGCCACCCAGGCACCCCTAGAATTTTTTTTTAAAGACACATTTATTAAGCATCATGATCAGACTATTACACTTAGCAGTCAAACCACCAAAAAGTACATTAAAACCAAACCAAACCAAACAAAACAAAACAAAAACTACATTAAAACCCATTGTTGGAATGCTTTACACTTTCCATAGGACAGAAACAAAAATAACCTGTTATACAATTAGTCACAATTAGAGTCCTCAGTTTTTTTTTGCCTGTACACATGAGTATTGTCTGAAACATGGCTTCTTTGCAGCAGGTAAGCCCTGCCACCACTGTACTTAGCTGAGTTCACAAATCTGTTTTAACCTGTAGCTTCCCTGTCACTTCTCTGGCTCTTCTCTCCTGCTAAACTCTGTTTCCTGGCAGTGATTAAAACCTCCTGCCACTGCTGTAGCTACTGCTGCTGCTGAAACCACCATAGCCACCTTGGTTTTGTGGTTTCGCAAAGTACTGACCTCCACCACCATGGGGGCCAGAGCTTTTGCCTCCAGAATTTGAGGATTGATTGTTGTAACTGCCAGAATCATTATAACTTCCACCACTTCTGAAGCTGCTGCTTTCATTACCAAATCTGTCACAGCCATCCCCCACTGCAACCGTATCCACCACCACCTCTACCACCACCAAAACCACCTTGCCCACTGAAGTGTCCTCCACGACCAAAGTTGTCATTCCCATCAAAACCACCTCCACAGTTTCCAGAACCACTTCAGCCTCTTAGAATGAAGCACTAACCATCATTTGCTGAGATAGGGCTCTCCTTAGTTCACAGTTGGGGCCATTCACAGCACGGGATTTTTGAATGACAGTCTTGTCTACAGAATCATGGTCATCAAATGTTACAAAAGCAAAGCCCTTCTTTTTGCCAGTGCCTTGGTGAGCCATGATTTCAGTCACTTCAGTTTTCTGATACAGTCCAAAATAATCCCTTAGATGATGTTCTTCAGTGTCTTCTTTAATGCCATCAACAAAAATCTTTCTCACAGTTAAGTGGGCACTGGGTCTTTGAGACTCTTCTCTTGGGACAGCCTTCTTTGGTTCCACAACTCTTCCATCCACCTTGTGTGGGCTTGCGTTCATGGCTGCATCCACTTCCTCCACAGTGGCATACCTGGCAAACCCAAAGGCTCTGGAGAGCTTGGTGTTTGGATCTCTGATTAACTACACAGACTATAAGCTTTCCCCATTGCTCAGAATGGCCGCTCAGACTCTGATCAGTTGTTTCAAAGCTCAGCCCTCTGATGAAGAGCTTCTGCAGCTGGTCAGGCTTTTTGGGAGACTCTGACTTAGACACGACACTAGTGGGAGGGGAGACTCGGCAGGGTCCATGGGCAGAAAGCAGTAATGAACGTATCTCCATGCCACAGAATTTTAAATTTCATGTCATGGAATTAAAATTTTTTTTTGAATTTTAAATTTTAATATCAATGAAAGATATATTAAGTACAGGAATAAAAACTTTTTAAATTGTTAAATAAATGCAACAAGCTACCAAGTTATACTTTTTAAAAAGTGTTTATACAAGCTATCTTTGGGCTTAAAACTTGTCTGTTATATGATGACGACATTTGCTAGTATTTTACTATCTTATTAGGGTTGGTGTTATCCTAGTTTATTTCTGTCACTTCTCTCTTTAAGATACAATGCTTGCCAAGTTCCAGAATTTAGTAAAGAATTGGAACCTGGTGGTAGTTCTAATTCTGAGTTAAGGGATCAGTGGGCCACCCTGTCCATTCCCTTACCTGGTGGTGGACAGTGTGAACAGCTTCATTTTGAGGGGCACAACTTTTAATGCCTTTTTCTGGTCACAACCTTAACTTCCTGTGCTTATTAAAAAAGAGTGGTTGGTACATGAACTCTTGGTAAGTGTTGTGTTAGGGCAGATAATATAAAAAGTAGGATGCCAGTGAGTAAAATGCTGATAAGCTTATGCTCAATCAGTGATATTGAATGCAGGAAATCACCAGTCACTTGCTTGGGGAAACAGGAGGCAGCCAGAACTTAGAACTAGCAAATACGACAGCTACCCAGAATAAGCCTTTGAAAGTTGAGAGAAAGTACTTTCTGGCCTCTGTTACCAGCTTACTCCTTCCTTAGCTGGGAGCCTTGAAACTTTGTCGGGAGGCCCACTGACCAAAGTGAGGACCTCCCAGAAGTGCTAGACATATCTTTGTTCCATAACCTTCTGGGCAGCCTAGGGGTAGTGGCAAAAATTTGTTCTGTCGCTGAGTACTGTCTTTCTCTTGCCCTGTCTTGCTCATCAGAAATCTGTTAGTTTTTTGTCGGGGTGGAGGTGGAGGCACCGGAAGTTCTCTATGGGATTTAGAGAAGGGATTCTAATTTGAGTACCATTCCCCCAACCTCAACTCAATAATTAAGCTTTGTTTTTTCTTTAAAGTTTTTATTTATTTGAGTAACCTCTACACCCAATGTGGGGCTTGAACCCATGACCCCAAGATCAAGAGTCGCATGCTCCTCTGACTGAGCCAGCCAGACACCTCTAAGGTTTTTTTTTCTTCTTCACAGTTTTACAGTATATCATTGTCCTGGAGAGTCTGAGTTGATTTTAACTAAGTCACAGTTCAAATATCTTAAGCATTACTTGTTTTACCGTAATGAATTTTAAGAGATTTGTAAAAAGACTGATCCCTTCCTTATGGTAAGGTCGGGAAGCTCAGATATAACCTACCATCAGACAGCCTGCACTTACTTGTATTCCTGGGTGTTTGAACAGTAAAATGAGATAATGTGACAATGTTTCACATAAAGTTCTCTGACACTATTAAACTGTTTTCCAGCCTTGAGTTACATAATCAATATTTGGAAAAATATAACATTGATATTTGAGGTGGGCTACAGTATTATGAGATAGTGATTACTTGGAAGTGTGTCTTTCTGACCTATTTAAGTCACTTTTGAGTGACTACCCTTGCATAGGGATGGGGAGAGCATAGTCAAGTACAAAAATGGAGATTACAGTGCAATAATTCTGCCTTCACAACTGTATTTCTTTTTGCTAGTAAGTTATGTGGATGATTCTGTTGTACTGCTTGGGTTTAGAACTTCTTTATATATTGGGGGCAGGAGTCAAGGCAGAAATCTTTAATGAATGGAGCAGTTGGGTGAAGGAAGAATGGATGTAAGGTCTTGAAGGCTTATCCCATTGAAGAAGAGATAGCAAAAATGAAAAATAGAAATCGATTAGGACTTGAAGACTAAATACAAGAATCTAAAGGAAAAGAATTAATAATAGGGGTTTTGCCCATCAACGTGGTAATTGTATTGACAGAAATAGTAATTAGGATGTTGAGAAAAGGTACTTACAGGATTTTTAAGGCTATTATAGCTAAGAAATATCAGCTATTTCTCATAGTTGTTTGGAGAAAATTTGAAAGATTTCATAGTGGGTATTTTTTTTTTAAAGATTTTTATTTATTTGACAGACAGATCACAAGTAGGCAGAGAGGCAGGCAGAGAGAGAGAGGAGGAGGAGGCAGGCTCCCTGCTGAGCAGAGCCCCATGTGAGAGGCTCGATCCCAGGACCCTGGGATCATGATCTGAGCCGAAGGCAGAGGCTCTAACCACTGAACCACCCAGGCGCCCCCATAGTGGGTATTTTTAAGTGATATGGGAGGAAAACGCAAGGTCGTTGAAGTAAGGACAGCAGTAGTTGAATTTTTATTTACACTTACTTGACTTGTAACCTCTCAAGCACTTCGAGATTACAGAGTTGGGTGGTTTCTATTTCCTTGGCTTCTAATAATTGTTAAGACCTTTATTTTTTTTTTTTTAAGATTTTATTTATTTGACAGACAGAGATAACAAGTAGGCAGAGAGGCAGGCGGGGGTGGGGTGGGGTGGGGTGGGGAAACAGGCCCCCTGCTGAGCAGAAAGCCCAACATGGGGCTCAATCTCAGGACTCTGGGATCATGACCTGAGCTGAAGGCAGAGGCTTTAACCCACTGAGCCACTCAGGCGCCCCGAGACCTTTATTTTTTATTTTTAGTGATTTTTAAGAGAGCGAGTGAGAGAGGGAGAGAGCAAGTGAGCGAGCAAGCTAGTGCAGGAGGAGCAGGGGGAGGGGGAGAGAGAGAATCCCAAGCAAGACCCGACAGAAGACCCTGAGATCATGATCTGAGCGGAAATCAGGAGTCAGTTACTTAACCTACTGAGTCACCCAGGTGTCCCCTTGTTAAGTAAGACCTTTAAAGAGAGCAGTGGTTCCCATCTAGAAAGCTGTGCGCTTATTTGAGTATTTCAGAAAGCTTGATGGAAATCCTGTATTAACTCAGACTAAGGATGTAGAAGTTAAAATTCCTTTGTCTTTGGCTGGAATCCCATCAACGTAGTGCTTAAATACTAGGTCTTCTTTATTGATTAAATGCTTTGCTAGCAGTCGTATTTTTTTATATTTTTTACAGAAATGAAAATGAATTTATTTAATTCATGCAGATTAGAAAAAACAGAGCTTGTGAAAGGAAAACTAAATAAAAAGAGGGAGTCTTTGGTTCAAAGGTTGATAGAGAATATTTTTATATGACTTTATTTACTAGGAGTTGATGCCTTTGGCTTTACTAAATAGAAACACAGTTTGTATTTTTTTTTTTAAGATTTTATTTATTTATTTGAGAGAGAGAGAGAGAGAGATCCCAAGTAGGCAGAGAGGCAGGGGGAAGCAGGCTCCTTGCTGAGCAGAGAGCCTGACGAGGGGCTCAATCCTAGGACCCTGAGATCATGACCTGAGCTGAAGGCAGAGGCTTAACCCACTGAGCCACCCAGGCGCCCCGCAGTTTGTATTTTAGAGCTCAGTTCTCAGTTGACTAAATATGTGAAAACACCATAATAGCTGTTGCTAATGCCAGAAAGTCAGACTTTTTCATTGACTTCATTGTTTCTAAGTTTTTTTGTTCCTGTTTTGCTTTGGTGGTTAATAACATGAAGCAGTATTTAAAAACACTTCTGGGGCACCTGGGTGGCTCAATGGGTTAAGCCTCTTGACTTCAGCTCAGGTCATGATCTCAGGGTCCTGGGATTAAGTCCCACATCAGGCTTTCTGCTCAGCAGGGAGCCTGCTTCCTTCTCTCTCTCTCTGCTTGCCTCTCTGCCTACTTGTGATCTCTCTCTGTCAAATAAATAAATAAAATCTTAAAAAAACAAACAAACAAACAAACAAACAAACATTTCTGGACATGGGGGGCCTGGCTGGCTCAGTCCAGTGGTGCATGCAGCTCTTGATCTCAGGGTCATGAGTTCAAGCCCCATGGTGGGCATGGAACCAACTTAAGAAAAAAATAACAACACATTTCTGGACATATGTTCTTTATCACTGTTTCCCCAACTCTTAGAACAGTGCTTGGTACTCAAGAAATGCTTGTTGAATGAAATAAAATATTGCATGTAAACAGTAAAGTTGAAGTAAACATTAAGATACAGGGGAATTAAAAGAATAATTATGCAGTGACGCTGAGCACCAGAGTGATTTATGTTAATTTTGAGATTTAGGTGATAGTAGCACTACTGGGAGCATGAATAATACTATATTTATCTCTAAAGGTCTGTTTCTTTGTTGTATTATCCAGGTGACATTCAGCTTCCTCGAATGGCCAGAGTTTTACCCTATAATCTTATTTTGGTGTTTGTCCTTTGTTACTGAATAAAATTGTTTCAGAAATTCAGGAGTGATATGAAGTGGGTTACAATAACAAGGAAACTGCTGAGTGACCAGGAGAAGTGGAAAACCATAGGGCTCTTCCTCACTGGTTCTGCCACCATGTTGTCTAGGAGTTACAGGTTAAATTAGGGTAGTTTATAACTTCATTACCTCACAATTTTTAAAAATTTATTTATTTTTTATTTTTTAAATATTTTTATTTATTTATTTGACAGAGGGAGAGATCACAAGTAGGCAGAGCGGGGTGGGGGGGAAGCAGGCTCCCCACTGAGCAGAGAGCCGGATGCGGGGCTCGATCCCAGGACCCTGAGATCATGACCCAAGCCAAAGACAGAGGCTTAACCCACTGGGCCACCCAGGCACCCCCATTACCTCACAATTTTAAGTCCCCTAAGGAATGAACAGGAGAGGAAGCAGATCTCCATTAGAGGCTGGTGGTGTGTGTGTAGAAGGGAAAAGTGCTGCTTGGGAAGTGAAATTAAAATTCTCATGTAGGGTATCTTTGCAGGGACGCAAGAGGAAAATAGGCTAGTGCTAGAGGATTGTTTTTTTTGTTTGTTTTTTTTTTAAAGACTTTTATTTATTTATTTGACAGAGAGAGAGATCACAAGTAGGCAGAGAGGCAGGCAGAGAGAGAGGAGGAAGCAGGCTCCCTGCTGAGCAGAGAGCCCGATGCGGGGCTCGATCCC